TTTTATAAGTTTATGAAGATTATAGGCAAAGCGGGATCTCAGGGGGCCTAGATCTTTTCCGTGGGTCTCAAAAAGCCCCGAATGAGGTCTTACATGGTAACTTATAGGGAATAGTGATTAATTGCCAAGGGTAACAGATTTATGTAACAACAGGTAGTTCCTCTCAGGTTAACAGATTTTCAAAAGGCTTCTACAGATCTTTTAACTAATTCTATCTACGTGAACAAATGGTTACAAAATCTTTCAAAGATTAACTTCTGAGTTCTAAGGTAAGTTTATCACTTAACAGAGGGGTTAAACAGAGATATATTGGCTCCATATTTATTAGGTTATTGTGAATGGAGACAGGTAGTCTAGAGCGTTTAAACAAGAGCTTCTTTTAGCCATTCAGGCATCTGTCTGTTGGGGGGAGGGCACTCCATTGTCAGCTCTCAGCCTGTAGTTTTTAACAGATTCGCTTTGCTTTACAAAGCAAATCCAAACCTGTAGGTCTGAGAAGCACGGCGCCGTATGGGATACAGCCGCTACTGTCTTTCAGAGACGCCCGCCCTTCCGAGTGCAACAGCATTTGAAATGCAAACCAACTCGTTCACACATTCCTTCAGGGCAAAGCTCTGCAAAACTCCTAAGACAAATCCTGTCTGGAAACACATCTATATTAATTCATGGAACAACATCAGGCCATCAATAATTATGTTAAATCTACTCTGTCTGTGCCCTACAAATGAACAACAAAGCCTAGACGACAGAACATCTGTTTATAGCATGGTTTACTGAATATTTTATGCCCACTGTTGAGACCTACTGCTTAGAAGAAAAGATGCCTTTCAAAACATTACTGCTCATTGACAATGCACCTAGTTACACAAGAGCTCTGATGGAGATGTATTATACAAGGAGAAGAATGATGGTTTCATGCCTGCTAATGTCCATTCTGTAGCCTGTGGATCAAGGAGTAATTTTAACTGTCAAGTCTTATTACTTAAGAAATACATTTCATAAGTCTGTAGCTGCCATAAATAATGATTTCCTATGATGGATCCAAGCAAAATATGTTGAAAACCTTCTGGAAAGGATTCATCGTTCTAGGTGCCATTCAGAACATTTGTGGGCTGAGTGTGGTGGCCTGAAATCCTAGCACTCTGGGAGGCTGAGGTGGAAGGATCACTTGAGGTCAGGAGTTCAAGACTAACCTGAGTAAGAGTGAGACCCTGTCTCTACCAAAAACAGAAAAATAACCTGGGTGTGGTGGTACATGCCTATAGTCCCAGCTACTCAGAAGCCTGAGGCAGGAAGGATGGCTCAAGCCCAGGAGGTTGAGACTGCAGTCAGCTATGACACTACTACAGTCTAGCCAGGGTGACAGAGCAAGACTTTGTCTCAAAAAAAAAAAAAAAGATTTGTAATTCATGAGGAGGTCAAAATACCAACATTACCATAAGTCTTAAAGAAGTTGATTCTAGCCCTCATGGATGACTTTGAGGTTTTCAAAGATTTCAGTGGAGGAAGTAACGGCAGATGTGGTATTATAGAAACAGCAAGAGAACTCGAATCAGAAGTGGAGCCTGAAGATGTGACTGAATTGCTGCAGTCTCATGATAAAACTTGAACAGATAAGAAGAAGTTGCTTCTTATAGATGAGCAAAGAAAGTGTTGCTTTTTGTTGTTAATTGTTTTTGGAGACAGGGTCTTACTCTGTCGCCCAGGCTGGAGTGCAGTGGCACAATCAGCTCCCTGTAACCTCCAACTCCTGGGCTCAAACAATCCTCCCACCTCAGCCTCCTGAGTAGGAGGGACTACAGGTGTATTCCACACTCAGCTAATTTTTAAATGTTCTTGTAGAGACAGGGTGGTCTTGCTATGTTGCCCAGCCTGGTTTCAAACTCCTGGCCTCAAGCAGTCCTCCCACCTCGGCCTCCTAAATTGCTGGACACTACACCTGGCCATGTTTCTTGAGATGGAATCTATTCTTGGTAAAGATGTTATGAACATTTTTGAAATGACAACAAGGGATTTAGAATATTCCATAAACTTGGTTGATAAAGCAGTGGCAGGGTCTGAGAGCACTGACTCCAGTTTTGAAAGTAGTTCTGTGGTTAAAATGCTATCAAATAGCATCACATGCTACAGGAAAGTCTTTCTGAAAGGAAGAGTCAGTTGATGCATTGTTGTCTTATTTTAAGAAATTGCCACAGCCACTCCAGCCTTTGGCAACCACCTCCCTCACTGGTCAATAGCCATCAACATCAACAAAACTTTCCACCAGCAAAAAGATTACAACTTGCCGAAGTCTCAGATGATTGTTAGCATATTTTAGCAATAAAGTATTTTTAAATTAAGGTATGTACATTGGCTTTTTTTAAAGACATAATGCTATTGCAGTTTTAATTGACTACACTATAGTGTAAACACAACTTTTATATGTACTGGGAAACCAAAAAGTTCCTATGACTTGCTTTATTTCTATATTTACTTTATTTCGGTAGTCTAGAACTGAACCTGCATCATCTTCGACGTATGCCTTTACCTAGATGAAAGAATCAAGGTTGCAGGGCAAATTCTGTGAATTGTTTATTAATTCCCACCAAATGCCTTTCATTTATTTGTTCATGCAGCTCTTTAGCAAACATTTATTGAACATGTACTATTTGGTAGTTCAGTGGTGAACAAGATAGAAAACACCATCCCTGTTCTCTCAAGGTAAAGATCACTAACCATGCAATTTTAAAATATTTTTGTAGGGATGGATAATTTTACCAAGAAAGCAGTATTTGCTTTGTGAGACCCTGGCTAGAGTCCAGCCACGGTAACTGATAAGGGTCACACGCTGTATTATTAGAGCAGATCTCCCCATGTCTGCAAGTGACAAAAGCTTGCCTACAGCCAGCTTGGGCAAATTAGGGGATTTGGTACCCACGATCTTCTGGAGCTTGTGCCCAGGAAGAGTTGGAGTTCCTTGGAGGCAGAGCTGTACTTTTGTGTTAAGTTTTAACTTTTTCTCCATTGCAGAACACTTTAGCAGGAGCCCTTACACAAACCTCAAGGAGATTGTGGATAAAATTCAGGAATTTGTTTACTTGAATGGGGGAAAAAATCACATTTTTTCCCTACTAATCTCTACTAAAACTTAGCATTTCTTCCTATTAAATATGTAGAGAACAAATCAAATGTTAACAGTACTTGTGTCTGGAAAAAAATAAGTTATTTTCATTCACATTGTAGTTGCATATATCTTACAATATTGTTTTGCTCATCATTACAAAATGATAGCCATTATTAGATCTGTAGGAGTATCTTGTTGTCCAGTGAATGAATACAGAAGCACATGTATTACAGTTTTTGAGTAGTTTGATAACTGAATCTCAGTGTAGTTTTTTTATTATTATTATTTTATAATTCAAGTATTTCCAGTGTTAAATATTCTGAGATGAGACCCAAATGTATAGGCACATCTGGTGTAGAAAAGATTGGCAATCCTGTTTTTACGTTCTTCTAAGACACTGACACCTATACATCTTGAACACTCCTGTTTCTCCCCAAAATGTAGTTCTTTCCCTCCAGTCTTCCTTTCATCTGCTCAGACTCTGCCTGTAGAGATTCAACTCCAGCCATTGTACGTCCACTCAAAACCCAGGTTCTGACTGTTTAATTCTTACTGAATGCTGAACTATTTTTTCCTCACTTACACCCATGTGTTAGTAAAGACAGATGGCAGGGGAAGTTAGAGGGGGTGTGTGAAACCAACCTTCTGGCACATTTCTCATTCATTTTTAAAAAGTGCAAGTCAAGGAGGGGGCACAGCAAAATGTAAAATTAGGACAGATGTTTCTCTGGCCGAATAGTAACACGAGCTGCTCCTAGAATTTTTTTGAAGTAAATATCAATATTCTCACTTAACCTGGCACATAGGCTCTTAATAAATACTGTTGTTGATTATTTAGATGTCTTTTTCTTTTTAAACAGAAATCACGTTGTCGACGTCAGCGTTGCAGTCAGTACTCCTGCAGGTCTCATCACACCTATTGTGTTTAACGCACATATAAAAGGACTGGAAACCATTGCTAATGATGTTGTTTCTTTAGCAACCAAAGCAAGAGAGGGTAAACTACAGCCACATGAGTTCCAGGTAAAGTATTAGTTACTTACCATTTGAATTTTAAGGATTATGTTATTTATTTATTTTTTTTTTTTGAGAGAGAGTCTCACTCTGTTGCCCGGGCTAGAGTGCCATGGCGTCAGACTAGCTCACAGCAACCTCAGATGCTTGGGCTCAAGCAATCCTTCTGCCTCAGCCTCCCGAGTAGCCGGGACTACAGGCATGCACCACCACGCCCGGCTAATTTTTTCTATGTATCTTTTTAGTTGTCCAGTTAATTTCTTTTTATTTTTTTTTCGTAGAGACAGGGTCTTGCTTTTGCCCAGGCTGGTCTCGAACTCCTGAGCTCAAACGATCCACTTGCCTCGGCCTCCCAGAGTGTTAGGATTATAGGCGTGAGCTACCGCGCCCGGCTGGATTATGTTATTTTTAATGTCAGCATCATACATTTATTGCATTTTTCACCTTTTGATTTGCCACATATTCTTATGGACACAAGGTCCTGACAATAAAGAAAAATTGGATCATAGGTCAAAACCTGAAAACTAGTGTGCAGAAGCCAACGTAACTGACTTCTGTTCATATTGTAATGGTTGTATCTTTTGAGCAATGTGTATTCCATTCAGGTCTGTCTTAAAATAAGATAAACTTACAGTCTTTTCACAGAACTTTTGTCATGTTTTCTGATTTATGTTGACAAGCAATTAATATGTTCTATTTTTAATCTTTTTTCCTCTAGGGTGGCACTTTTACAATATCTAATTTAGGAATGTTTGGAATTAAGAATTTTTCTGCTATTATTAACCCACCTCAAGCATGTATTTTGGCAATTGGTGCTTCAGAGGATAAACTGGTTCCAGCAGATAATGAAAAAGGGTAAGCAAAAAGGGTGCCAAAATGGAGAGGGAGATGTAAGCTCATTTTTGTTACATCCCTTTGTATCCTTGGGGTACTGGCTCTAGGACCCCCGAAGATACCAAAATCCATGATGCTCAAGTTCCTGATATAAAATGGTATAGTATTTGCATAACCTACATGCATCCTCCCATATACTTTAAATTATCTCTAGATAAGTTATAATATCTAATTACAATGTCTGCACGTCATTTCATTTGCATGGATCCAATGTAGTACCCAGTGTGTGGCAAATTCAAGTTCTGGTTTTTGGAACTTTGTGTCATTTTTTTTCCCCCGAATATTTCAGTCCTGGGTTGGTTGAATCCAGGGATTCAGGATTCAGAACCCATGGATAATGAGGGCCAACTGTACCTGATTTTTTATTTATTTTTTTTGAGACAGGGTCTTGCTCTGTTGCCTAGGGCAGAGTACAGAAGCACATAGCTCACTGCACCCTCAAACTGCTGAGCTCAAGCTATCCTGCATCAGCCTCCCAAGTAACTGGGACTACAGGTGCACGCCACCACACCTGGCTAATTTTTCTACTTTTTGTAGACATGGGGTCTCACTCTTGTCCAGGCTGGTCTCAAACTCCTGGGCTCAAGCAATCCTCCTACCTCGCCCCCCCAATGTGCTAGGATTATAAGGTGTGAGCCACCGCTCTGGGCTTGTACCTGTTTTTGAGTCTCAGTTTTAAAGATGGTTATTGGCATGGTATATTGGATCTTAAGGTAGAATCAGGCATACATTCTATTATGGGCAGCAACTTTTAAATTTTACTAAATGCAATTAATCCTATTTGAGATGGGAAGCCTTATTTATTTACTTTAGATGAGAGGTCAGCACGCTTTTTCCTGAAAAGTCATATAGTAAGTATTTTAGGCTTTCTGGACCATATGGTCTCTATTGCAAATACTCTGCCTTTGTAGTGCGAATAAACAATACATAAATGAATTCTAAAAAACCTTTATGTATAAAAACAGGCTGCGGGCAGGATTTGGCCCTTTGCCAACCCATGCTCTAAGTATATATTTTGTCTTCAGCCTATTAATTTGAGCTAAAGGTATAGGGGACATGAAGAGTAGGTGGAAAATATTAATATTACCTGGGTGGGATTATAGGGTAGGAGTCAGCATCTAGGTGGTTACTGGCTAAAATCCAGTGATTGCTTTCAGAATACCTAATAATGTTTTTATCTTTTTCTAGATTTGATGTGGCTAGCATGATGTCTGTTACGCTCAGCTGTGATCATCGGGTTGTAGATGGAGCAGTTGGAGCCCAGTGGCTTGCTGAGTTTAGAAAGTACCTTGAAAAACCTACCACCATGTTGTTATAACTAACTCAAGAATTTCTAGGCTCTTCCCGGTGACGTTGATTCATTCTTATCAAGATATTTATATGTTATGAAACAGTTGGTTCTTTTTGTTTTAAAGTTAACGAGTTATTTTTATTATTGAGTCTGTCCAGATAAGTTATTTGTAATGAGCATTACTGAATTTTTAAAATGCCAAGTACACCCAAATAATGCGCACATTTGATAATTACATACCTGATTTTAAGCTATGTACCCCTAGTCAGGGGACATGTGGCCTATCCCTTTGGTGATAGGTACTTCCACTGGGAAATGTAAGATAAGTAGTATTGTAGTTCCCTAGAGAGGAACCTTAGAGGTACCTAAAAGTAACCTGGATGAAACCTTAGAGTTCTGAAGTTTAATTGCCTAAATTAATTGCTTAGATGTGAGAGAAAGAGAAATCAGAAAAATTAGTTCTTTTGGAGGACAGGTTTCAGTTGAAGCTTAAGTTTCAAATTTACCCCTGGTTTAAATTTTTCTATTATATAATCTTGGTTTATCATGGCTGGGAAGGGTAAAGAATTTAAAGGAAAGTAAGTGACATTTTAAAATTCAACATTTTCTTAGATTTCTTTAATTATTGTTTATTTTTCTATAAATCCCTAAATGGTTGTTTTCCCCTCTTGAGATGATATAAATATAAACCAGCTACTTGGTATAAATGAGAATTTGTGTGGGTATTTATTTAAACTTAAATGTGTAATTCTGAGTACAGAATTCTATAGTTACCTCCAAATAAAAGAACATGCCCATAGAATTTAATAGAAGTTGTGAAAGCAGAATTTCCCAAGATTAACTGGTAGTTGACAGCAAATGAACCAAATTATCAGAATTTATTACTCAAATAACCCTGGAAAACTCTTTGTCAAATAACTATAGAATATATATGGAATAAGTGTACATATGTAAAATATGGTTACTAGAGTTGGCTATGTGCCAAAGTCCATTTATCACCAAGTCCTATCAGAAAAGAAGACAGGGAGAGATACAATGGTAAACAGTTTAGAGTGCTAAAAAATGTCCAATACAAAAATGGTCATTTCTACTTGGATAAAGCAAAAAAAGTTAAATGTACATTAAAAAAGTATTCTGTGGAAACTCCAGCATTGTCTCACGTAAAATAAGAAGGCCCTGAAATCTTGTTGGAAAGAAAAAATTAAGTCATTACCTTATCAGCCTAAATACTTATTTTCATTTTTCTGTTTTTGCCTTTCTTTTGGAGGGAAGGAGGAGGTGATATTCAGGATAATAAAAATGAATTGGGAACATTATCACAATTCCAGACTTTCTACTGATGTGTTTTAATAAATGTTTGGAATTATTTATGACTATTTAAAATAAATCTGACTAGTGCTTTCTTGTATATGTGATATATGGAGCTATCCTTAAAATTTGCTTTAAGTGTTTCAGTGTTGAATCTATTTCTAAATGTTGATTATTACATGGTACACGAGTGACACTCCATATAGTCCACATTTACCTTGCTGTTTTATGACGAAAACAATCCAGTACATTAATCTGACTTTTCAGGAATCAGTAATTTCAGGTTGAATGAAGATTATGCAAAAGGAGCAAGCTTATCACAAGGGACCATCATCAGTATGAGCCAGATCTGGTTCAAACATATGAAACTTCAAAGATAATTCATTCTTTGCTAATGCTTATGGCTCTGTTGTTCCCTTGAAAGAAAAATAAACAATTGCCTTCTAATAAAAATTATTTGAGTTAAAAATTAATCTGAGCTATAATCTAAATCTGGGTTCAGTCTATTGATCTTACCAGAACTGAAAGAAGTAAGTTAGAAATAATACTTTTGGTTCAAATAAGACTGTTTAACAATTAAATTATGTGTCTTCAGTGTGTCTGGTTTAATTTTTGACCTGTTAGAATTATTTTCACATTAAATTATTTAGATCCAGGGAAAGCCATTTATAAGCTCTTAATACAGATAAATTTCCTATTTATATAATTGGTAAGATACAGACTGGGTTGAGGAGGATATAATCTAACACTTTAAGCTCAAGGAGTTACTGAACTAGCCCATGTTTGGGTTTGGCACTTATTACCAAAATGGAAAGTGTGGTCTGGCTCTGTTAGACACCTTACTCCCAATTCTGAGGCTTGTTGAGTATGAAGTTAGGATATCACAAGGCATGGTCTACAAAAGGAATAGACCTATATATGAGAGATGATAGGAATGTTTTGCAAGTAATAGTCTTCCCCTAGTAATGCACAAGTCCTGGAATACATGAGGAAATCATAATCACTACTGGTAAGTGATCTAAAACCAAGTTTGTAGAAAAATCTGTTCTCTAAATAAAGGATAATTAATGTCCATCTCAATTTCTAATTTTGAGAGAAAAAATTGTTAGATTCAAATTTAAACCAGTTCACAGTTCATTATTAGTTAATGCCCTTCCTGGGCAACATTTTGCTTTTTGTAGGGAGGGGGAGGTAGAGATGTTTTTATTAATATAAAGTCCACTGAAATAATGAGTCAGAATATTTTGGAAAACAACTAGGATGTAAATTTAACACTTTATAGATCTCGATATGCATTTTTTAAATGAAAACACAAACAGATACTGATGATGAGTGCAAGATTTCAGTCCGTTCTATGTGGTAAGGTAGGGGCAATTTCTAGGAAATACATTTTGGCTGTGATTTCATAGAAGAAAAGATAGGGTGAAGGCATTCCAAGTTTTTTAGAAGTGAGAATATAATACGTTTGCTAATTTTAGGACATGATACAGTTCCAGAAATTTTTCAGAAGTTAAATCATCCTATTGCTAGTAGCATTCAAATCCAGACCAGACTTAAGAAAATTGTATTTGCTTCTAAATGCCACATACCAGTTATTTCTATTAATTTATCACATTAGTTTCTAAAGTTAAAAAGTTATAAAATTAGTGAGGACTTTATAGACCTTATGTTGAACTAGAAGCTAATAATTGCAAGGAAGCTGTTTTGTGTTTAGAAAAGACGATTAAGATATGTTTAAAGTTTGTGCATATAGCCTACTTGGGATATAAATTGGATAGTTGATACCTTTGTATGTGACAGCTTAGAAGAGATGAATGGTAATTGAAACCTACATCATTTCTGTACTTCTGTTCAATTCCTTAGGAGAAAAGCCCTTGTCCCAAAGTCAGCTCTTTTTTTTCAAATAAGAGATGGATATATTTTGATAATGATATGCAATAACATCCACTTACTGTGTTGTATCCAATCCACAGACAAGCCCATATCTGATATTAAAAGGTCTAGCTAGGTAGCCTGGACTGGCAAAGCTGATTTATCGAAGTACAGAGGTTCATAGAAGCATAAGTTTGAATCTTAATATTTCATCTTGTATCTTTATTGTTAGAGTAGACTTTCACTGCTATAGACCATCTTGTTAATAAAAAACTTCTTACAGTCTGGGATTTTTTCCTGATGCAAAGATTTACTAGAGACTTTTTTTTTTTTTTTTTTGCCCCAAGCAGTAAACCAAGAATTCTCACATGTTATTTGGGAACAACTGGAATTTTCCCAAATGATAAACTACTTAAGATCACCACAGATATCTTTAAAACAAGTACATCATGGCAATACTATTTTTAATAGTTTCTGGCTCATGTCAAGTCTTTTTGAAAAAGAGAAAATGAGTTTAAAAAATAGATAAAACCTAACAGCTGAGGAGAGAATCTCATTCCATCAAAATGAACTCTTAGGAAATATGGAATTAGTGTTTAAGATAAATTACTACCTCTACCCATAATGAAGGTCCTATAATTCACACGACTTTAGCACTAAAAACCCAAAACACATGATACTCTTGTTTTACACCAATGGCATTGTGATGATTAGTGTAGATTTCTCTTTGATAAATTTTGCTGTAGTCATTTCAGTATCAATAGGTTCTGGAAGATTCAAATGTAATCTGTACTTCTCAGAGACTTCAATCAGTAAATCATCCTAAAAATAATAAAAAAGACTTTCAAAAGATGAACATAAAGGCCAAGCATGGTGGCTCACATCTGTAATCCCAGGATTTTGGGAGGCCAAGACAGGAGGGTCGCTTGAAGCCAGGAGTTCAAGCAACACAGCAAGACTCTGTCTCTACAAAAAAAATTTTTAAGAATTAGCTGACTGTGGTGGCACACTTTAATAATCCCAGCTACTCTGGAGGCTGAGGTGGGAGGATTGCTTGAGCCCAGGAATTTGAGGCTGTAGTGTGCTATGGTCATGCTACTGCACTCCAGCCTGGGTGACAGTGAGACCCTGTCTCTTACAAAAAAAAAAAAAAAAAGAAAAGATGATACCAGCCTGTCTAAAAGAAACTTAAAAATTTAAAACTCTCTGGACCCCAACATTCCATGAGCGGAAACATGCTAAGAAAGCTGCTCAGCATCTGAGAATGACACATTCTCCAATACTCTTCAGATGTGGCCAGGGTGGACACTGGAAAAGAAAAAAAACTTCCTGAAGAATGGAGCTGAAGGTCATGGAAAACAATGGAACTGGGAGCTAGGTAATTAAAGAACCTAAGCAAGAACATTCTCTACCTCCAGAAAAGGGTCCCTCTCAATGTCTGCCTACTAGGATTTCAGAATTGCTGTGTACTAGTAAATGCAACGTGCCTCTTATTTTTCCCTTTTCTGAAGTGAGATGGTTAATTATGGTTATCCTCTCCCAATTTCATATTGTATAGTGGATGGGATTGGGGGAGTAGATAGCTTGTCTCTGTGTGTTACAGGTCCATGGTTCAAAAGAACGAGAATGCAAAATCCTGTACTTTGGAGTCTGATACTGGGATTGGAGGTTTTTTCATTGGGGAAAGATGCAAATATTTGGACCAAGAAGGTGGACTGTGGTAGACTGACTGATCCCAATTATTTGGTCTTTTGTAAAATTATACGTTGTGATTTCCTGTCACTACTTGTAAGAATATACTCCCCAATCCTATTCATGTAGAACTTGACCTTGTGACTTACTTTAGCCCAATGGAATATGAGTAGAAGTAATATATGCCATGTTTGAGTGGAAGTTTTAGGATTCACTGCATGGTTTGACCATTTCTATTTTCCCTCTGCCAT